TAGTGAATAGAATTCTCCATAGTCCTCTGTATTGGGTGCTTGTGTTGACATCGATGTGTCTGGATCTACAGGAAAGCAGGTAATGAGCTGTAGAATATGTTATGTTGAAAGGGTCATCTGGAGGTCATCTGGCCCACCCCTTACTCCAAGCAGGGCCCGCTTCGGAGTACCAGGCTCCAGGGGCTTCCTCATTCTGTTTGCTGCAAGGCAAATCTTGTTTCACTTCCCAGTAATTGGAGGGGTGTTTACTGCTTTGAAAGAAATGACACCTTTTTAGCTCACCTTTTTAGCTCTTCAGATTATCTTCCAGAATTCCTGGGATGACGTGGCCTGATGCTGTTCCTTCAGGCAATCTTGTCTGGTGCTGCTCTGTTACTCACCTGTTACATGGAAAGTCCCTTTTTTTCAATGTTGCAGATTATTATATGAAACTAAATAGCACCATCAGCAAGACTTTTCTGCACCCATTGGGTTGACTGGGGAACTCCCTTGCTGAAAAATCCCCCATGGATTTTTTTTTTTGTCCAAAAATACAATTAGACCTAGACCTGTGGTTAGGTCTAATCCTGGGCATTTTCTGATGTTTTCTATTGTGAAATCGGTAGACAGCATGAACTGAGTGGTGGTCCAGTCTGGTTCTGGACAGAAATGCTGAGCTGTTTGCGGTGGGTTGGGCTTTCAAGAGACATTCCAGGAAAAAAAAAAAAGCCCTTGTACTTGAGAGTTCATGCCGATGGCCCTGTGAAGGACAGCAGTTTATTGTTTTGGAGAAGGGTGGTTTTGCTCTGAAGTGCTAGATTGCAGTCTTTGTAGTGCTGCCTTATCTACACGGTTGTGGTTAACTATACCTGCAGTTCTCCAGTTGTTAGGCAGCTCAGTTTCTTCCTCCTTGGTACATGGAGGGAAGGGCAGAGACCAGCCACATTAATTTGTGCAACAGTTAGGAGCTGAAGCTGTGATTGCTGGCCTCCTGCTCTTGGCTTTAGTGCTATTTGAAGGAACTTAGGTGATAACAGCACTGGGAAGAGGACTTTGAAGGGCTGTGAAAAGCCAGGGGAGAGGGGAAGAAAGTAATTAAGGGCTTAAAATGGTGCCAAAGAGCCAAAGACTTCCAAAGAGCCAAAGATTTCCGTGCGAGGTGAAAGCTTTGTGACCCTTTGTGTTTCACTGTGTGCAAAAGGGGAAATCTCGCCAGGTCAGCTTCAAAACAGCTGTTTGCCCAAGGGAGGAGAACTGATGTGGGAGTTAGTGTCTGGCTTGATGCTGCTGACACAAGAGGAGAAGGAGTGGAGGTGTACCAAAAGTCAGGGAACAGGTTGTGAATGAACTAAGGAGGCTATACATCTCTCAGTTTTCCCTTAAATCCTGGAGCTGCCTCTGAAGGGATCAAAGGCAGGGAAGAGATGTCCCTGTGGAGCTCAAAAGTAGAGGAACTTTTGTGTGTGTGTGAAAAATAGTGACCTGGAGTGAAATGCAGGGGAGTACGTGAGGGTGGGGAGATTAACTGGACAGTGATTAAACTGACATTAGTGAGATGGGCAGTAGCAGCATGAGGCAGTCTCTTCATGTGGCCCTCAGGCATGTGGGGGTGATAAACTCTTCAAACACTGACTGGGAAGCTTGCTGCCTGTGACCTGGCCAGCATCTCCCAAAATAGTCAACTCGCAGTGAGTAACTTCCTTTGCGCTGTTCCCAGCTCTCCCTGGCACGTAAATCCTGTCCCCTAGTTCCTCCTGCCTTCCTGTTTAGAGAGGGGAGGGTTGCTGGGAGAGGCCTTCCAAGGGTCCTTGAGCTGTTGGGTTTCAGCTGGGAAAGTCTGCTGCTGGGCTGGGCGGGAGGCATAATGTCAGGGTTACATCCTCTGTCCCTGCTCCTATTTGAGCTCCCAGCCTTCACCTGTGCTGCTTGGGAAGAGGAATATGCTGCTGTTCCTCAGGCGTTTGCTGGTCTTCATTTCCTTTTCACACATGCCTGAACTGTAGATTAGGCTGCTTCTCTCTGAAACGTCTTCCCAGTGGGAAGGGGAGCCAGCAATTATTCCTACTACTGGGAATGCACTTTCCCACACAGCCTGATCTTAGCGTAAGGAACCACTTGCTGCCTTGTCTTTGAGGAGGCCCCTTCTGGCTTTGAAGATGAAAGCAGAAGTAGCTCCTGTCCTTCCTGCAGTCATTTGAGGAGAGTTCAGAAGACCTCAGATGAGGAATTTGAATCCTTAAGTCTTACAGTTTTCCCTATCTGTTCCTAAAGGTGATGTTCTTGTTTGCATTGGAAGTAGACTGCAGGCTTCCTTGTGCAACACAGTGCACAGCAGACAGGCCAGGTTTCTGCTGGACCTTGCCCCAGCCCTGGTGTTTCCAGCTGTGTAGATTTCAGGATTGCTGTCCAGCAAAACTTGATTTGCAGCTAGTGTGGGAGACTATCTGCCTTCCACAGCAAGGAGGGGGACTCCTATGGAAGGATAATGCTGGAGAGTGACTGTAGTCTTGGACCACATACAGACAAGCTGTCATCTGTCTTCCTCTTGGAACCGTTCAAGCAGATGAAGTAAACTTTAGCACCACATCTCCTCTCTTGATACTTAAAAGCACAGGGAGGAGGCAGTGCACACTTTACTTCCATGGACGCTCTGCGAGGATTGCTACTCTGCTCCACGGGTGAGCCAGTACAAAGCTGGTAGGATCCCGCTCCTGCCTGCTGCTGACTCTGCAGCACCCTCTGGTGTTGCTGAATCTGCCCATTAGCTGTTTTTGTTTTCTCCCTTCTGTCCATCTCTTGACTAAGGAAGGTCTGAGAAGAGGAACTGCAGGAAGGAGTCTCCCACAGTGAAATGCTCTCATATATATTCAGTTGCTGAGTATCAGCCAGTGGGTGATCTATGTAGGCCACAAACTAAAGCTGATTTAATTAATTTTCAGGGGTTCCCCTCCTTTGCTTTCATGCTTGTGTGTGGACTGAAACCTTCCTTTTTATAATGTCCACCTGGAATGGTTTCCAATTTTTTTTTTTTTAACTTGGCTACTCTGGAATTATGAAGCTCTGTGTGCCTTTTGTTTGTTCTCCTTCCATGATCAAAAAGTTCAAGAACTGTATGACCTTACTATCTGACCTATCCTGGCAGGTATTTTGGAGAGGATACTCAGGTTTGAAGAGAATCCTCCTTCATCCTTTTGTTGTCTCGATGGCCAGGACTCAGCTGGTGACATGAGGAGGACACTTTTTTTTTTTTCTTTTTTCCCTTGTGTCAGATGTGCCTATTTTGCTGGTACTGCATGAGCAGCATCTTGAGCTGTAGTTACCTACAGTGAAGGATGAAGCTGAAAGAACTGGTAGTTCTTTGTAGTTGTTCTGTTGCAAAATTTAAAAGGTATTTCACAAAAAATCAAGAAAAACATCAAACCTCTAAATACTCTGCTGTGAGATTTTTAGCTAACGCCTGGCTCTGCTACTTAATTCTTTCCTTGTTTGTTGTTTTCCACTGAAACACTGCTCGGATGCAGATGAGGTCATCTCAGTAGTCAGTTTTTGATTTTTGCTACATATGTCCTGTTATACTGTGTGTCTCCGCTGAACCATTGTTCTGTCTGCATCACTAGCATTCATGTTAATTCTGTGCCTAAGCTCCCGAGTTGAACTTGGCACACGCTCTGGTTGCCATGTTGCTGACCCAAATTCCGTCTGCATTAGGAGAGAGCCTTCCTCGCCAGCTTGCAGACCCTCGGGCTCTGATGGCCACCATCAACAAGGGTTTCTGGAACTTGTGAGAAGTGAGGGCTGCTTTGGTTCTGCCTGTGAGCATATGTCAGGAACCTGCTGCTGTGTGTGCACTGCAGTTAAATTGCAAAGATCACTATTGTAGGTTGATTTTTAAACCAACCCATGTGCATAGACATTAACAAGGTACTTGCCAGCTGACTGTGTAGCTGGAGGTGGAAAAGAACCCTCAACCAAAATGGGGATTTAATTATCAGAAGGCTTTTGCTGAGGTGGGGGAGAGTGGCTCAGCTCTAATTGTAGCCACTGTGGATGGTTGTGCGGCTCTGTGCTGAGCCCTTTTGAATGTATAGGGATAGAGGTCAAATGTATAGCAGCCAGATTGGTTAAGGCTATGTGGGTGAGAACCTGAATCTATTGAAACTAGTGGGAGGATTGTACTTGTAAGGAGAGTTAAGATCCCCACCCCCCCTCCCTTTTGGTGTCTCCCTTGTCATAGTCTGACACTATCCTGCTTCTCTGTTCTTGTTTTCGCAGAACATCCAGAAGATGCTGGGTCTTGCTCCTTCCCGGGCTGCCACCAAGCAAGCAGGGGGCTTCCTTGGGAGGGGCTACTCTCTATTTGTAGCCACTGTGGATGGTTGTGCGGCTCTGTGCTGAGCCCTTTTGAATGTATAGGGATAGAGGTCAAATGTATAGCAGCCAGATTGGTTAAGGCTATGTGGGTGAGAACCTGAATCTATTGAAACTAGTGGGAGGATTGTACTTGTAAGGAGAGTTAAAATTCCCACCCCACCCCCCCTCCCTTTTGGTGTCTCCCTTGTCATAGTCTGACACTATCCTGCTTCTCTGTTCTTGTTTTCGCAGAACATCCAGAAGATGCTGGGTCTTGCTCCTTCCCGGGCTGCCACCAAGCAAGCAGGGGGCTTCCTTGGCCCACCACCTCAGGCAGGGAAGTTCTCCTAAAGCACAGTTACAGCCTTCACTGAAGGTCTGACCGGTGCACAAGACTGCCTTTGGGAGGTAACAAGATGGGATTTTGCACCAGGCTTCACATGTCCTAAACCAGCCTATGCAGTATTGGCCACAGTGTTGGAAACATCTTCCATATGGAGTATTCTACCAGCGGTTGTTTGCTCATCGAACCAAGAAAGTTCTCAGAAGATAACTTGACCTTTTATTTCTGAGAAATAAATGGCATGGGCATGTTGATTTAGGTGTCTCTTAATTGTGCTGTAGGACAAGTAGAAATACCTTGATGTAGCATGGTTAATTTAGTCTGTGGCATGGAAATCAACTTGAGCAGCGAGAGTAAGATCTGTGAAGTAGATAACTTGGAAAATTCAGAACAATCATGCTGTGAAGTGACTCTCTTGTCTTAGACATGCTGGCTATAGTCTTATGTAGTAGGGACCTGGGTGAGTAGGTGTGCTTAGTTTTCCCTTTATAAAACTTCCAGGGTGGAGGGTGAGATTTTTTTGTTGGCTCAGGTGTCTGGAGGCACTGGAACCTGCCCCTGTGCCAGGCTGTCCTTTTGGAGTTTGCAAGTATTTCTGGGCGTACTGTCAGCCTGTGTCGTATTGGCAGGGTAGAGCCCCACAGAGATTTCTGCAGCATTATACAGCTTCTGTAGAAGTCACTTGCTGAGGCAGAATCTGCTCAATTACAGAAACAAACCTGGCCTTCAAACTTTGAGTAAACTGCTAAATTATGCCAGTGCCATCTACTGCTACTGAACCCTTTATTGCCTGAGTGGCTATGACAGCAGTGTTTTTGTTCCTGCTCCTTGGTGTATTGCTAAACAGCCTGATGATCAGTCCGCATCTTAAAAGGCCGCCTTCTTAGGCCAGGAAGTTCTCTGCTCTGTCTTCTGCTTTGCCAAATAATTCTCTGTTTCAGCCCTGTTGGCTGGAGCCCACTCACCTTGTTTCAAAGGAGGGGAATAACTTGTGCTGCCACTCTCAAGTGAGGCCGGCATGCTCTACCCACAGCAGCTATTGATTTCTTGCTTCTGTGACCAGATGTTTATCATGCGGTACCTCTTCCCAGGAGTTTTTGACTAGATGCATGGCAGGAGGATAATCCCACACCATATGGCAGTGTGGAGCACGTGCAATACCATATTAAATAGTAAATACTGGATTAATTCTCACTAATAACTATCAGGCACTCATATGATTATTTAAGGATAAATCAAGTGTGGAACCTCTATTCAATGTCCTGCCTCTCAAACCCACATATTTGGCAGGTAAAGGAAAACATCTAGTGTATACTGATGCTGCCTTTTAACTTACCGCTGTGTCCAGTGTAGTTGGAAATTTCCACTGGGAGCAGTCCCGGCTGTGTAATTCCTTTTTCCCTTGCGGACCCTCTCTTAGTTCAAGGGCCTGATCCTTTAGCAAAGCCAGAAACACCCCAGCGTGTTACCTGCATGGATCAGCTTTGTCAAAGTATTTTATTCTGCAGCATATGATTGTTGGATCCAACAAAGACAGCCAAATCTGATCAAGCCTAATGACAAACTGCACCTTTAATGACTTTGGAAGTGATATGGGCAATACCTTCCCTGCTCCGCCCTCAACAAATCTGCCTACATTGCGTCATGCCACGCTTTGTCACTTGGGGAGGGAAGCATTTGCACATCCAAAGATTATCTGAAAATTATTGATCTGCTATGTTCTGGTTGCTTCCCAGACGGGAAGGGTGTTCCCTGGGGGTTGTTAATCATTATAACGACCTGAGCAGAACAGCTTTCCTAATCTCAGCCACTAAAAGGTCTGAAGTCGAAGAATCTACGAAATGAAACACAAAATGAAAAACAACTTTATGAGCACGGGAAGACTCGGGTTTTGAGGAAGAAAGGATGTTCTTTGTTCTGTTTCATGGATAACTTAAAAAAAACCCAAACAAACAAAAAAACCCAAAAACCAAAAAACACCAAAACTGCATGTGTATCTCGAGATAAACTGCAGCTGTGCTCACATCTTCGAGGAGGTTTAACTACTGCCAGCCGCTGGTACAGTGGGTGGCAATTCAGCTCCTCTGTTGTTTTTTGTTGGCTTTGTTTGGTTTTTTTTTTGTCCTTTTGCACAAATCACAGCGCTGTCGTCTGTCCTGTTCGCCGAGAGGGAGGAGGGGGACCTCCGAGCCACCAGGGGGCGCCCGAGCGGTGGGCGGGTCCCAGGCCCCGCCCCACGCGCCGGCGCG